TTTGATTGGTTTGTCCTCTGTTGCTGCTCTACTGGATTGTGTCTCAGTCTGTCTCACCTCATGCTCATTACTGATCTCTCCATTTTCCCTCTCTGTGATGTAGAGCTCTGTGTAGATCTCATTCAGGAGTGTTGGGTTTCCTTGCTTTGCTGTTCCTTCATACAGGCACTGAAATTTCTTCAGCAGAATTAATTTTAATGTGCTTTCGACCAGCTGAGGGGCCATGACTGAAAGATTAAAATAACAGGTCACAACATAAAGTAAAGAGGTTAAAGTGTTAGTGAAATAAATTAAGCTTATGAATCAAATATTTAGGCAAAATCACACATGCAACAGTGCTGCTGGTCTAAATATGGCATGGCTGTTATTTGGCCCTTTAAACAAGCTGTGTTTATAATCAGATCAACAGCACAATTGAGAATATGAATTTGGGTGAGTCTGTGTAGACAGAAATATTGTACCTCAGATAAGTTGTGTTTTACCTGCATCCTGAAGAAAAATCTCCACCACTGAATGTTTCTGTGTCCTCCATGATTCATTCAGTCTTCATGAAGCTGCACAGGTGCTTCTGTTTTTGCCTAATCTGCTCAGTATAGTTATTTATAGGTTACAGAACAATACACAAAAAAAGTAATGGGAAGAAATTAGCATTAGTCATTTCTTTACACTCTCTATTTTCACTAAATATGTTTTTGATAAACACTTACTGCAACATTACAGACATTTACAGAACATGACAATACTTCCCTATCTGCCTGTCTGTCCAACAAAGGTCTATTAAGATATAAGATCACGTTGTTTCATTAAGTACTTTATGTTAAAGGTAGCCTAGTATTTTATAGTTTACACCAATGAGGAAGTCACTTTATTCACCTCGCCTGACTCACCAGATCGAAATAGTCACATGTTCTCAGTTTTCATGGTTTCCCAGTAAGTACAAGCAACTAAACACTATTTGACACACTTATGCTCAGTTTTTTTCCAAATTAAGCATTCTTAAGAGCTCAGGAGTAAAATGGTACAGGTAAAAGACTACTTGTGCTCCTGGCCATAAATTTAGGTGGGGCAGATTCTGAGTTGAAGCACTAGTTTATGATTAACCGCTTGTAAATTTATATTCTAAACACTGAACACATGTAGTCTCACCTTTGGCAAATATCTTGCATAACTCGGTGCGAGAGTTTATTGCCAAGCTCTAAGTACACACACACACACACACAAAAATAATGTTTAATCTTAATGCATGCTTTAATGTGGTGTATGGTACAGGCTATTTATTGCTTCTGAATTATTTTGATTTAGACTTAGGAGCGGAGAAGGAATTCTAGAGAGAGAGAAAAGCCATGTTGAATCTCAGAACAAACAAAAAACACAACAGGAAGTCTTGGATTTATACTTTCACTTTCAATATGGCAGCAAGGTTACCGATCCTGTTTCAAGAGAAATATCCAGCGCATATCTTATAGTTCATACACAGTTTGTTCATGAGAATGACTATACCTCATTAGTTTTGATCAGTAATTTAAATATATAGATGTCAAAAGTGTACAATTCTGTGTAGCAAAGAATAATTTTATAAAAGACAAGTTTGAGGTGCGGTTATTTGGGTGATGAAGGCTTTATGGGCATTTAAACACAGGAATATTAATTATGCAGCAAGATCATCTTTTTGATTCAGAAATCAGTAGCAATGTATTTGCTCATTTCATTTTCAATTCAAACAATTACATTTTAATAATACTGTTACAATTAGAAATTATTTACAATGTACTATTTACAACATAAAATATTTCATTTCAGTACCACTGGATTGAATTTTCAACATGAAACAAGATTCTCATTGCACAGTGATTTGAGGGAGCCATCAGTCAAGTTATTTAGGCAATAACATGACATTTTTAATGTAGTAAATTCACACATTTGCCACTGTTTGAAAGATCAAACTACTCAAATTTTGAACTGACAATATGAGCTGTTATTCACATGATTCATGTAATTAATTTGATTAGACAAGAAGCATTTTTCCATTTAGCATTTTCAACATATCAGGCATACAAATAAGATTGAAACTGAATATTTACAAAATCTATATCATTTGCAGACAGCTTAAATTGATTACAAACTAATTATTATTCTAGTTATTTTACAGTTCTTCCTTTATTTAATTCCTCTAAATAAAAAGACATGCCGTGGTGAAAATGGTGGTATTCCATCCTGTGGTTATTGATCATGAAACCACTTGACATGAAGCAGTAATACTGTATTCCACCATCTGATCTTTAAAGAGCTTCATGGGTAAAGATGGCAACTAGATTACAGTTAAACAGCCTTCAGGTCTGTTATCAGAACTGTGTGCAGCATACATACTTTCATTTAGATTTGGCACAGGAGGTTTTAGGTCCAAATGGATTCACCATTTAGTGTCAAATCGAGTCAGATCCTAAGGATGCTTCTATAGGTACAAAAATACAGTTTCGTGTGGAATACGATATGAATATGGTACTGCATGGGTAACATGCAGGCTGAAACTCAAGTATTTTTGGTTTCTTAATTAAATAGAAAATAGCTTATCTAACGTAATATTTATCACACATAAAAAAAGAAGAAAAAATGGGATTTGTAATTAATATGAAAACATTCTGTTAGTGGAAACTGTCTAACATGTGACCCGTTTTAATGGACATGACCTGTTGACCTCAAACCATTTCATCAATGCACCTGGAAGAACCGGAAGATGAGCCGTTTTCCACTGTCTGTTAGTGATGTTAAAAAGCACCAACTCAAAAAGCTCAGTTGTCAAAGTTATCAACACTTAAAAGACAGAGTACTAAACAGAATCCACAATCAAAATCCAACTGTAAACACACGAAAGACACATCAGTTAAAAAGCCAAGGATAAAAGATAAGGTTTATAAAAGAAATGTAAAAATTCAACGAAAGTGCCAATCTGATCTCTCTATAACTGTGGCCCTACCACAGAGAAAGCTTGGTCCCCTCCTAGTTTCAGTTTAGAGTGAGGGACTACTGTATATAAGAAGGTTCTGACCGCTCAATCTTAAGACTTCTCTGGGGAAAATAAAGACGCAGCAAATCAGCTAAATAGTTGGGAACTTGGTTATGTAGGGACTTGTACACAAAAAAGAGAATTTAAAATCAATTCTAAATTGGATAGGCCCAATGAAGAGCCCTCAGAAAAGTAGTGATGTGATTGCTTTCATGGCTTTTGTGTAGAAATTTGGCAGCACCATTTTGGACCAGTAGGAGGCGAACAATTAGTGATTTAGAAATACTGCAATATAAAGAGCTGCAGTCACCGAAATGAAAAGTAATGAATGCATGGTCCGGCATCTCTTTTATTTGGCTAGAAAGTTTTACATGTTTGACAGTAGATGGAGTTGGGGGAAAAATATTTCAATATCTTTCTGTGAATTATGATTTAATTCACTAAAGTACTGTATCTGTGATGCCCAAATCAGCCTCTTGAGGTTTGTCAAAGTGCATGTTGGAATCACTATGAGGGGTATCAAAAGAGGACAGGAGAACGTCAAGAACGTTTACCAGTTGACCTGAAGGATGATAGATGACAACAAAATGATATTCATGGCGTGATATTCAACAGATGTGTTAGTTCAGACTGACTTACCTTCTTTGTGGAGGATGTCAATGATTGTCTTCTGGACCATTGCCAAGTCAGCAGTCTTCCCCATTATAGTGGTTTCAAAGAACAAGAGATACCCGGAATTTATACTGTAGGTATTGTCATTTAATGAAACTCTAATGTAAATATTCTAATATTTTGAGATACTGGATTCTTGACTTTCATGAACTGTATGCTCTAATCATCAAAATTAAAACAAAAAAAAAAAACTTTTGAAATGTTTTACTTTACATGCAATGAATCTAGAATATATGAAAGTAACAGCTGTTCTTGCGTCCAGTTTGGTTTTCTTTTACGTTTACATGCCTTACCATCAGCCATGATTATTCTACTCTGTTAATTAAAAGGCTGTTTATATGCATATCCGCTAATTGTTTACAATGAGCACACAAGTAAGAGGCTGACAATTAACTGAACATATACTTGTTTAATTAGTGACAATTAGCCTGCATTTTTAAATCTTTATTTGAAAGTGCATTTTTTTTTTTTTTTTACTTTATTTGAATAAGGCAACATAATATCGCACTCTACAGTATTTATCTGAATAAATCTCTGACAGACTATCAGCCAATCACTGTGTGCATAGTTAATAAGCATGCTGACATCATCCATATCAACGAGGTCAACCCCGCCTCCTTTCTCTGAGCTTAAGACTTCTCTCTATTCCTTAGTAAAAGTTTGTCTCAGCAGCTTTGTGAATAGGTTTCAAGACAAAACGTAGCTGAAAACTTGTACCTCTATTTAGGAGAACTCTTAGTGGTAAGATAAAATGTTTTGTGAATATGGGCCCAGATCTCATCATCTTCCAGACTGTCTGGAATGACATGAAGAATCAGGAAAAAAACAGACTAAATCCCGAAGAACTGTGGCAACGTCTCCGAGATGCTTCAAGAAACCTACCTGCAAATCAACATGAAAAACTATGCGCAAGTGCACCTAGGACAACAGGTGTTTAAAAAGTAAAGGGTGGTCACACCAAATGTTGATTTAATTTCATTAATAGAAGTTAATTGATAAATAAAATCTATTTATGGCATTATTTTTGAAAGCATCCTCACTTTACAGCATTTTTACACAAGTGCCTAACTTTTTACAGTGCTGGATTATTACAATTAATGGCTAAAATAATGTTTGGAAATGTAAATTTATATTTCCTGCTAAAACACTACAGAAATAACTGGATTAAAACCATTTTTGTTGGTGAAAATACTAGTGGCCTAAGACTTTTACATAGTTGTGTACACACATATTCACACAATATAAATAAATATTATGCAAACAGAATAATGGTCATACAGAAACAAAGTAGAAAATGACAAATTTTTACATTCTAGAGCCCTTAGAATTTATTTATATATAAATTATCATTTTTATTATCTGTTATAGCACCTGTTACATACACAGCAGCACATTAGAAAAAAAAAATTAACAGCATTTATCAAAAACATTCACAACTGGTTCATCTATTTTAAATATAATTTCAAAAATCTAAGCGTACAGACAATATCTTTGATTAGGTCCATGTTCCTCCTTTACTCACATTCTGTCAGTCATCGTCCTCTACATTCATGTCTTTTCTACACAACTCTTACTTTGGTTAAAAACAGTTTAACAGAAAGTCCTGTTGTGGTTATGGGTCATGAAACCACTGATATGTTACCCTAACCTATGAAGCAGTAATACTGCAGTCCACCATCTGATCTCTAAAGAGCTCCATGTGTAAAGATGGCAGCTAGATTACTGATAAACAGTCTTCAGGTTCGTTAACAGAACTGTGCAAAGTATATGCATGATTTCATTTAGATTTGGCACTGCAGGTTTTAGTCCATATTGGTCTCAGATGATGATGGATTTATCATCTAGCGTCAAAGAGAGTCAGATCCTGGAGAAAAACATTAGCTGAGCCCTTCTCTGCTGGTCTTCTTTACTGGAAATATCTGCAGATAGAAAAAAAAGTATATTTTTTTTGTGTTTGTAATTATTGGTTACTGGTGACACCACTCTATTTGTGGAAAGTGTCTAACATCTGACCTGTTTTAATGTTAATCTGTAGGATGTTCTGGACACGACCTGTTGACCTCAAACCATTCATCAATACACCTGGAGGAGCAGAAGACGAGATGATTTCCACAGACGACAGCAGGTATGTGTGCGTGTGTGTGACTGTGAAAGTGAATGTTTCTCAAACCCTTTGTGGTAGACACAGAGACAGGGCAGTCGAGCGATGGTGTCCCCCTGAAGCATGTCATCCAGACATATCGAACACTCGCCAGAGTCCCGGGACAAAACATCATCTACAGAAAGACAAAACATCACATCACTATCAGCATCAGAGAAGCTCAGAGCAGCAGGAGTCAGATGATGACACATGGGGGCGCTGCTATACAACAAAACAAATCAGCATTGAAATAAACAGTGGAGGAAAGAAATACATTTGCAGGTCCAACATGAAATAAATTAAAGTTTTTTGTTATTTCAGATATTTTTAAGTAGCTTTAATTCTGTTTGAGAGTTCAGGATTGCAGGAACAGTAAGTGATCTAACTGGACAGAAAGAGAGTGATCTGCGGTCAATGTGTGATAGTGAAGGTTGCTCTTACCGTTATAATGGAGTCTGGGTTTGGAGAAACACATGAGCAAATGAACATCTATTTCATCTGAACAGACCAACTTTGAGCAGACGGGACAGTCAAATTCAGCTGAAACAAACAGAAGAGACAAAAATCAGGGATGCACTGAATGTTCGGCAACCGAAATTATTCGGCCGAAAATAAGCGAAAAGGCCGAATAATATGTAGGCCTACCTACACGCACTAATAAACAATTAGGGAACAATTGGGAAGTCGTGGCCTAATGGTTAGAGAGTCGGACTCATAACCCAAAGGTTGCGGGTTCGAGTCTCGTACCGGCAGGGATTGTAGGTGGGGGAAGTGAATGTACAGCGCTCTCTTCCACCTTCAATACCACGACTGAGGTGCCCTTGAGCGAACCACCAACTGCTCCCCGGGCGCCGCAGCATAAATGCCCACTGTTCCGGGTGTGTGTTCACGGTGTGTGTGTGTTCACTGCTGTGTGTGTGCACTTTGGATGGGATAAATGCAGAGCACTAATTCCTAGTATGGGTCACCATACTTGGCCACATGTCACTTCACTAATGCAGCAAACATGTCGGCAGTGTGAATTAAAAACTCAAACGATTAGTAAATAAACTGCACAATTTTCTAATGCACGCACGAATTGCATATATTCTGACAACGCTGCACGAGCTCGCGGCGCCAGGCTTCAAAGTCCAAAGCGCGAGGAAAATCTGCGCTGAAACTGTGTTACTGTGTCAGTTGCTCAGTAACATTTTTGTGAATTGTTTTAAGGCATGTGACAATGTGATACGTGTGACAAACATCTTCCCAAATTCGTAATGAGAATCATTTATAAATCTGCATGCTGTTGTCAACAAAAATAAGCACTGAGATCTTCCTGCGGGTTTCTGCCAAAATAAACGCTGAGAAAAAGCAACAACTCCAACATTCATAAATGATATTATTGTAATTTTACTGTTGTTCTGTAAAATAAATTTAAAAAGACAAGAATAATAATAATTTCCCTACAACAGCTCTATTAATACATTTATTATAACATTCACATATACAACATTCAAATTGGGATCTGTAATATATTCTAATGTTTTAAAAGAATTCTCTTCTGCTCAGCAAGGCTGCCTTTATTTGTACAGTAAAAAATACATGCCTGATTAAAGTCTCAAAAATGGAAAAAAAACCAAATTATTTTACTAACTTATTAATTTTAAGTTAAACTGTGCTTTGTTGGCATAATGTAGAATGTTAAAAAATGTTCAGTGTTAAGTAAATATTTTTAAATTGTTGTTTTGTAATTGATTTTTTATTTGAAAAGCAGGACAAAACAGTAAAAGGCACATTTTGGCTATTTAATTTATGCAATGGTGAAAAAAAAAAAAAGCCAAAATAGGCCTACGTGGGGGAAAAATGCAAAAAAACGTGTTCGGTATTCGGCCCAGTGTTTCATTTTATTCGGCTTTGGCTTCGGCCAAGAATTTTCATTTCTGTGCATCCATAAAAATCATGTTTAAATATTTGTAAGATTTATTTTTCTTGTATTTATTATGTAGGTCACTTGAGCAATAATCGCACAGTTCCTGTCAGTAAACAGCAATTATAAGATTACAAGGCAATAAAAAAAGCAATCTTGGAAATTTTGTAATCTCATCTGTAAATCTATTTACTGTAATGTGCATTATCAGGTTATCAAAATATGAACAAAATCTAATGCATAAAATTCACGGCATGTGGCCATGCTGCACATAGCTGAATGATTATAAAGCTGAATTTGCCAACATGTCCGTTTCATTTCAAGTAAGGTTCATTATAAGGCTGTAAAGTTCTTTATGGTTACACAGAAACCTCTGTAGTAGGCCTGTCACGATAACAACTTTTTGTTGTGAGATATATTGCCCCAGAAACGTCACCAAAAATTATTGAGGTCATGTACATATATTGCGCGATAAGTCGATATATTGATTATTGCGACAGGCCTACTCTGTAGACTTTCAAAGGTCTGCTTGAATCAACATAACACATACAGGAAATAGAATTAATACCCTTTTACTCCTATACATGCATATATGTGACCCTGGACCTAGGCGGTATCGGTTTTTATCGATGGTACACCTTCTTCGATAACGATATTAAAAATGTTCGATATAGCGCACAATATAGGCACGTACTATGAGTGACGCAGACAGCACACACACTTATGTTTTTAAATGCAATCTGCGTGATGGGCGATTTGGCTCTTTGTATTAAGCAATGCATAAATACATGATACTATTTTGTTCATAATTGTTTATGCAATTTATGAAATTATATTTGATTTTAATGAGTTAATTTAGACGTAATGCACGTTTTTTTATAGACATATTTCCTTGCTTTGACAATTTAAATGTGCTGCATTATTTTGCTTTCATTTAAAAACTGCATGTTGTGTTCACTTGTGTTATCTTTTACTAATATTTAAATTTGTTTGATGATCTGAAACATTAAAGTGTGACAAACATGCAAAAAAATAAGATATCAGGAAGGGGGCCAACACTTTTTCACACCACTGTATTTAATCTGCATAAAACATTAGAAATTATATATTTGTTTAATTTTTATTTTGTGTGTGATTGTTAAAACAAAAAAATATTTGTTGTTTGTCTCGATAAATTGGGTTAATTTAAAAATACAGTGGTTAAATAAAAAAAAAAAAAGTCTATTGCTCTTTGTTTAAAAAAAGGTTATAAAAAATGTCAATAATTATCGATACCGAACGATACGAAACATTTCATCGTTGATACATTTTTTAGCTATATCGCCCAGCCCTACCTGGACCACAAAACCAGTCATAAGGGTAAATTTTTTTAAATTGAGATTTATACATCATCTGAACGCTGAATAAATAAGCTTTCCATTGATGTGTGGTTTGTTATGATAGGACAATATTTGGCTGAGATACAACTATTTGAAAAATCTAAATACTGAGAAAATAATCTTTAAAGTTGTCCAAATTAAGTTCTTAGCAATGCATATTACTAATCAAAAATTAAGTTTTGATATATTTACGGTAGGAAATTTACAAAATATCTTCATGGAACATGATCTTTACTTAATATCCTAATGATTTTTGGCATAAAAGAAACATTTATAATTTTGACCCATACAATGTATTTTCGGCTATTGCTACAAATATACCCCAGCGACGTAAGACTGCTTTTATGCTCCAGGGTCACATATTAGGCATTGAGCATTTTATCCAACAAGCTGAAAAAAATCACTGTAACAGATGGTTACATTTATTCTGTGCATTAAACACCCAATTTCCAAAATTATGCGTGATATGCAACAGAATACAATACTGAGCATTAAGCTGAAAGCATTAATTATAATTATTTTCTGATAGACAGTAAAAACTGAACACCAAACAAAAGTATGTTTACATCAAAATAAAGTACTTTTTGCACCGAGATCTTACTAGATAGTTTAACTGGTGTGTTGAACATGTTTCCTGTTCTTTGCACATTCACATTTAATAATAGAGAACACATTCTCAACTACCAATGCACTGACCCATCAATCACTAACTAGTTAAGCTGGGCAAATGTTATTAATGACACAGAGTATAAATGCTTGCAATTGCTTGGTTACACACACACAAACACCTGTAATTATCAGTGTCAGTTTGTACTGCCAAACATTAACAGGATGTAAAAAAAAAAAAAAAGGGTAGGTCAGCTGTGTATTGATGGGGAGGAGCCTTCGGACACATGGCAGTCTCTCCAGACTGATTACAGACATAAACGCTTTTACAGGAAGTCATTCTATAAGACAGAGCCTTGTGCGGTTATGTGTTTGTGGCCCAGTGGAATCAAAGGGAACTTTATCTGACAGGAGGTTAAAGGTCAAAGTGCTTGAGTTATGACGACAAAGGTTGCTTAAGCATCACTGCTAGCCCAACAAAAACAGTCTCATATTTCATATGGCATATACAAATAAGTCATTGCAAATCAGATCAGATCAGGGGCCAGATTCATGACAAATTAAGAATAAAGTTCTTTGTAACAGATATTTTCTTGTTAAGAATATTTTGCATTCCCAAGATCATTTAAGAATCTTCATATCTTTTTTCTTCTTCTAATGATTGCTCTAAAATAAATAAATAAACTTGTCTTGTCTTAAATTCCCCAAAGGTAAGATGTCTAATAAATATATTGGGTTGTTTGCTAAGGATGTGCATGAGTACTGATCAATGATTGGTCAGTTATTATTATGCATGAAGTGAGTTTTTACTAAATTCGGTAACAATTCTACAAAATCAATTCAAACAGGGACATCGTTTTTCATTTGTAAGTTTCAGTTAATAATTCATAATAACTGTCCATGTTTGGCAGCATTCATCACAAAATAACCATTTAAAATACAAGTCGCATTTAAAAAAAACAAACAACCTAAAGTGCTGAACTCCTGTCATGAAAAATGCAACAAAAATAGTGCATGTTTTTATAATTCTGAGGAATTGCTGTGGTGTTTTTATTGAGTTGATCAGCAAGTCTTCAGCAAGAACTGCCATACAATCAGATAAACACTAAAGCCTCTTATTTTCTTCTTAAGAAATACTCAACGTTTTATTTATATAGCACATGCTAAGTGCTGTACACAAAAATACTATAAGAGCATAAACATAGCAATGTGTAAAAAAAAAAAAAAAAAAATCTCACAAACACAGAAATAAAACTAATTTCACAACAAAAGTCCATCCCAATACATATTCATTTCAAAAGCCAAATCAAAAGCCAAAGCATATATTCAGACTTAATAAAAAAAAAAAAAAGTCCTAAAAAAGAACATTTAGGAACTGCACTTCGGGATATTCTCACAAACTTTTTAGAATTTATCTTACATTTTTTTACTTCTTTCTTAAGAAGACTTTCAGCCCCAAATTAGATATTTTCCACAGAATTTACTCAAATGCATAAAAATAATTAAGCTGATTATGCTAGTAGATTTTGAAGAGAATGCCGTTATGTTCATTGGTGAGCACCAATAATCTCAGATGGCCAAATATTGGCTGATTACAAGCATTAAAAACTGATACACTTCAGTTAATGCACATTCTGTTTGTGTTCTCTGTAACTTTGCTATTGTCCAAATTTTCATGTTTCGGAAAACCCTTTAAGCTCATGATGTGAACTCACAGCACCAAATATTATTGATGAAGAACACACTTATCTTACTGAACACACATGCCTCCTGCACTTCGACCTTCACACTCCAATTTGACCCAAATCATGTGCATTGACAGAATGCCCCTTCAGTCTTTGCTACCCTAGCTATAAGCACACCGTTTGATATCCATGAAAAGTATAAACACTATGACGCTTTCCAACACAATATTCTATTTGACTGTCCAATGGAAGAGGTATAGTGATAAGGAAACCATTATTTTTTCAAATTTGAAGTCATTACTTTTTTGTATTTCGGTTTGATGCTGCAATTTCAAAAGCAGAAAAATATTTTGAAGCTGCTTTTCTTTTTAAAATGACTTTATAGAAAAATAATAAAATAGCCATGCACTTTCAAAACCAGACTGTACCACAAATCAAAAAGCTGGCAATCAAACTTGCTCAGCTATTTCAAACATGACTCATAAAAGAGGATTTCAGCAGGAACTATGGCTCGTAAATGTCTTACTAACAAATACAATAACTGTCAAATATAAAGCAATGCATATGACTGACACAGACATTTTCTCACGTGTTCACACGTCTGTTCCCAAACAGCAAATGTCCCTCTCTGAATCTTATCAATCTGACCCACTATCAAGGATGATTTATTTAATACAACCTGTCACTATTGCTATACAATCAAATCTGGAACCAAACGCACACCATGTTTGATGTTTATTGCCACTCAAAGGTCACAAAATTACAACATTGCAGTTTGACCTTCAAGTTCTGGAAAGAGAGATCTTGCATGAAACAGACAACATATTAATTCATTATCATAATATCAGCTATTTCAACCCACATAAACACATCAGGAATGTTAAGGAGCCACATTTTCATGTTGCCCTATTCTTGGATAAGGAAGTCTCTGTGTTTATAGTTACCATAAAAATCCACAACAAAACAGTCAGCGTTCTGATCACAGGCCGTTCAGAACATGATGTGCAGAGAAACACACATATACCAATGATAAAACCATCAATGCATAAGCCATAAAACAACATTCAATCATGCATTTGAAATGAACCTACATCAAATAAAATACAATATGAACACATAACCTTATTATGATAAGCTCCTATAATGATCAAATAAGATATCAATATGATACATTAATGTACATGTTTTTAAGTACGATACTGTCATATAATCAAGTAACCATATAGAACCAGTGAGGTGGATTATAATAAAATCTTGACATATATGGAATTATTGGCATCATTATATAACCATACCATAATCATATGATTTCATCAATAATTAAATTATAAATTATATATGACCTAAATGACTGATAATTTACATAATAATATAACATAACACATGCATGAGCTTAATTATGACAAGGCATAATAAGATAATGCAACATATATACAGTCAACAAGATTCATTACTATAAATTATAATGCATATATCGATGATATTGTCTTAGAAAAAGATGAATAATCATGTAAGACCAATAAAATAAACTTATATATTTATGGTATATGAGCTTGTTGTGATCATATAAAAATGTTGTATAATCATTTACTTTTACTTTACTTTTTACTTTTAGTCATTTAGCAGACGCTTTTATCCAAAGCGACTTACAAATAAGAAAAAGTAATTAAAACTAAAAGCTAAAACTCTATAAATACTATATATATATATATAATATATGTACATATACAGTATAATACATTCAATATATATATATTATTTCATTTCCATTTTGTATGTTGAAGTACTGAAATAACTCAAATTAAATACAACTAAAACTGAATAAAAAGCCTATATAGACATAATAAAAAAATTATAAAATGACAACATTACTACAACTGTAACTAAAACTAAAATAGATAACTAATACAAATCAAAGTACATTAGTTTATCAGTAATCCTAAAAAAAATATTTTTAGACTAACATTTAAGACTAATAAGCAACATAATAACATAATATATTAATATTATTAAATTACTGCAATTATATGAACATATAATCATAAAATCACAATACATCAGATGAACTTGTGATTATGATAACGTCACAAAATAACTTACTTCAGCATATGAGGTCAACATGATATTATATATAGGCCTATATACAGTCAAATGCATTATAATATAATATTAATTGGCAGAAGTTTGCCCAGTGTCTTACCGCCCAGCAGGTGAGGGGTGAGGTGCGCAGGTAGTGACCCGATCAGCAGCGTTCTCTGCCCGTCTGTCTCATCTCTCCGGCCGCTGGTCGGGATGAACAGACCGGGTCTTTGCGACGAATACTGGACCCGTTCACCAATCTGTTCCGTCGAACCGCCCGCGTAATAGCGCAGAACCGCAGCTCGCCCGTCAGAGTTAGACAGATCGGAACCGGAGTAAGATCGGATCCGAACCCCCACGGATGGACTGCTCTGCTTCGGACCCATACTGTATATAATATTAGGATTAAAAAAAAAAAAAAACTCTAGGAACCTCAAACTGGACCAGATGCCCAAATTATATAGAGAATCAAAGACCGGTAAATGCAAAATGTTCACGAAACACGCATAAAAGCGAAAACCCAAACAACTTTGCACACTTCCCACAGCCGATGTGAGTAAACCCAGTCGAGCGCACCGACCGCAAACAAACTTAAACAGACGCCAAAGATCACATGAGCTACCGCTGCTTCTTCTTCTTCGGTTTTATGACGGGTAGCACCAATGTTAAGGTGCATTATCGCCACCTACTGTATTGGAGTGTGGACTAGAGTTTACCCTTTCATAATGAGAGGACAAAAAAAAAACCATTTAAAAAAAATCCCTCTAAATTATCTTAATCAGCTCTCTTAAGATACAAAAATAAACGGTGTAATCCATAAGTAAATATATTTTTATGCTTTAGGTTATCCACTCCCATCTTTCTAAGTTCATTCCTCGTTGCTTCTCGTTCGTTAAGGGTTAGTTCACCCAAAAATGAAAATTAGCCCATAAATTACTCTCCCTCAATGCATCCTAGATGAATACGACTTTCTTCTTTCAGACGAATCCAGTCGGAGTTATATAAAAAATTGTCTTTGATCTTTCAAGCTGTTTCATGGCAGTCAGCGGGTGTTGCAGTGCTTCAGTCCAAAAGAAGTGAAATAAAAAGCGCCCATCCATAAAAAAAGTGTCTCACACAGCTCCGGGCGCTGAACAAAGTCCTCCTGTAGCGAATCGATGCATTTTTGTAAGAAAAATATCTATATTCAAAACGTAATAATCACTTTAATGTAGCTTGCGCCAGCAGTTTTACACAGAAGCAGTTCCGGGGGGATGACGTATGAGGTCAAAACCAACGTTTGTTTACAGGATCAAAGGAAGCAAAGTTTCCTTACTTCAGCAAAGGAAAACCAGTCTCCTCTTGGCTTATATCGAAATCCTCTGACATTCTTCTTTACAAATCCTCGTTTTGTACTTCTAATTAGTGACGTTGTTTTGTTTTGATCTCTCCACTGCGTTTCCGCGTTCGTCACTTCTGAGCAGAGCATGCGCAAAACCGACCTCATATGTCATCAGCCCGGAACTGCTTCTGTTTACAACAGTGAGTGCAAGCTAGATTCAAGTGATTATTACGTTTTGAATATGGATATTTTTCTTACAAAAA